CTCATTCCCTTTTTTTTTTGTGGGAAGTGAGAAGGAAGGCCAAGTGCTTAATTTAGTTCACTCTGAGGCCCTGGTGCCATCTTATGACATTAGGAACAGACTGGAGGATAACAGGAGACGCATTATGAGCCCATTGGTTTCTGCATGTGCCTCTCTAGATTTTAGAGAAAAGAAAAGTCGCTTGTGACCAGAGGGAAGAGAAGTATTGATGGCTGAGACATGAGTTCCAGGCAGCGTTAGGAAGACTTCAAGAGCAGCAGGAAGGACTTATCTTGTGGAAACCCCCAACTGCACTCATTCTGTCCGGTTGGGAAATTGATGAGACGGCCCATGTGTCGACACGGACTCCTGGATTGCAGCTTCTTCCGAGGAAAAGATTCACGTAATGCTCTGAGACAGAGTTATGTCATCTCAGTTAACGAGCTCTGGCATCTGTCCGCGTTTGTGCTGTAGCTGCCAGTGTCGTGCTTGCAGTGCAAGTAGGCATAATTGTCGTGTTTTTCCCTATCAAAAATCTCTCGTGGTTTCTGTGGGCTTTAGCAATTATAATACCTTCGTAGTGAAATAATCCTTGCAGCTGGGTAAGAGGCGATTAATGGAGGAATAAAACGTATTTTTGCGGGGGTGGGGGGAATTGCACGATTTACCTCTTCTGTCCTTGTTAGGGTCCTCCTCTGTTCTTTTTTGGACAGACTGCAAACCTTTTACTACTCCTTGCAGTGCTTTCCAGCATCAACACTTGGCAGCTGCTTTTGTTTTGTGTCAGGATTATTTTTAATTAGCTTTCACCTAAAAAACGCGCCGGTTGATTTTTATTGGCTGGATTTTGCTGATGGGAACCCGCAGTGGAGACCTCTCCCTGCGCTAACAGGCCTCCTAACTGGAATTTCCTAAACCGCCGCTGTTAATGTGTCATAATCTTTAAAACCTGCAGCCCGAATCACTTAGCGCAGCTTCATTAATGCCAAAGTGGCCGGTGTGGTGGGGCTCGGTGGCTGGTGTGGGCTTGAGCAGTCTGTGTGAGGGGGCTGCAGTACTGCAGGGGTTTCGTTTTCCCTTTGAATTCCCCCAGGAATCACAAAGGCCCCCTCCCAAGTGCGTTGTGCAGGCAGGCAGACAGGGGGCTGCATTTGCAGGAGAAAACGTGTGAGCGCTTCCTCTCTGCCGCTGGGCGCGAGGCAGCCCAGTCAGGCGTCGTGCCCTCTCCCCTTCAAGGTGACGGCTGCTGTGAACAGGCACTTCATAAACCTGCCTGTGCATCCCAAAGGAGAAGCACAATTGCAGAGCTGGGTAGACAATGGTGGTCTGTATCTGGTTACCTTGTCTTGTGTGCAGAGAGACGCCCTACTGTATGGGTGTAACCCTGGCATCTTGGCCAAATCTCCCTGTGGCCTTAACCAGTCATGGCCTCCTAATAATCCTCATCTCCGAACTGGCTTCATCGCTGTTCTCCTCCCCACTGAGAGCTGCCGTGTGGGGAGTGTATTGGTGCACTATGGCTGCAGTCGCATCATCCAGGTGGGGCTGCACATTGGTGGTGTTGGAGGGGAGTCCCCATTACCTGTACAAGTGCAAGATATTATTATTATTATTATTGTGATTATTATTATAGCCCAGCCAGTTTGCATGGCGCTGGTGCCGACACTTGGCCAGTGGTCTTGTAAAGAGTTGTTCCTGCTGCACTCCGACAGGTTCCCTGTGCCGTTGGATTGTGTTTCTGCTGCGAGCACGTCCATCTCTTTCTCGACAGGGCAGTGCTCTGCAGAGACTGTGGCTCAGGAAAGCCTCATTACAGTTGGCTTGATTGAGATGTGCGTTTGGCTTAAGAAGCACACAGGCGGCCCCCCCCTACCTTTTGTTTAAAGCAGTCACGCCAAAAAACGCTCTTGCTGACGCTGAGACAATCCCGCTGTGCGCTGCTCCGCTTGAGTTCACGCTGCTGGCCGTGGGGCAGGCCGGTGATTGTCTGAAGGCATTTCTAATCAGGCGCTGTTGCTCCAGCCTTTTGTTTCTTTGTGAAGCTTCTAATTGCAAATACCTTTCAGCTCCCTGGGGGCCGGGGGTAGCAGTGCCAGACAGACTCTCGGCCTGGATAAAGACCCATTAAATGCAAACTGTTGCCTATTGACAGTGCTCAGATCGCTATCGGGGCTTTGGAGTGTTTAATCGCATTAAGCACCTCGGCTTCTCGCTGATGAAAGGCGGTGGCCGGCCCCTGCCTGCTGACAGCCGGCGTGCTGGCCCAGGAAGATGGAGCCCAGCGCCGGCTGTCACGCCCTCATTCGCTCACGGCACCAGTGCCATGGAAGGGCGAGGAAGTGATCGCACTCGTTCGTTCTGGGCTGAAACCCAGGGAAATGCAGAATTCCTTCACAAGTCAGGTCAGGTTGCCAGACTGGAGTGACTATAATATTGTGTAGAGTCCAAGCTTTGATTTTGATGAGAGTGGTCCAGTGATGGCCCTCCGGTTCAGCTCAGTGCCGTATTTTGTCAGTGGGAAGGTAGCTGGGTAGAAAACCAGGCTGCAGAAAAGGGCATTTGGATGAGGTAAACGTGTGTTAAATTTCTCCCAGGACTTCCTGAGCCCGTTTAAATATTTCCCGGACCGAAACGTACGTCAGACAAGCCAAGATTTCTGTCTTGTGAACTGGTGCAAGTTTGATGTGGGCATCTGAAATTTCTAAACGACATCAGACCCAGTGAGCCCGAGTCTCGTCTTCGAGCCCCGAAAGGGAAGATGGGACCGGAGGAGATGCGAGGGGGGAGGAGGTTCGAGCGCGGGGCCGAACCAGAGGCCGTTTCTGGAGTGAGCGTTCCGTCCTACAAGGGCTCGGCTCGAGCTCGAAAACCTGGGGAGCGTTTGGATCTCTTTGTCTCCGAGCGCCCGTTCCTCTGACACTCCTGAGGAGGACAGCGGCTCGCAGAGCTCTCTCGCTCCTCCGAGCCGCGCCGACCCGGCCTTGATCCACACTTTTTGCACGTTTCCCGTGTTTTTGGTGGGCCCCACCCCCCCCTTCCCAGACTGGTTATAAAAATAATAATATATAATTGTTTAATGACGGTGAGGTCATGGCTGCTCTGCCAGTCCCCCGCGGCAGACTCGCTTTCAGCCTGCGGTCTCTTTAAAGATGTGAAATTACAGGGCCTCTCGCTGGCTGGCTGGAACAGCGATCAAAGGGGGGGCAGGCGGAGGGGCCTGGCGGCCCTTTGAAAAGGGCCCGTCGGGGACCGGCCCGAGCTCCCCTTATCTCCGCCGGCCGTCCCGGAGGGGTCTGGCTGTGGTCGGAGTGTTGTTTACTCTGGCTCTTCAGCGCCTACAGTTGCTGTCCCCCCGAGAGCGTTTGTCATCATGACAAACACGTTTGTCTCCTTCATCCTGCGTCTCAGGCCTTCTTCTTTCATCGGGCCCCTTCGAAAGCGTGGCGATTGAAGGAGGCTGACGCAGGGGAGAGGGCACAAGACCCCCGCTGCGCGGTGTGGTGCATGGCAGGCACATGCCCAAATGGCCTAAGTGAAGCAAAAGTGCAGATGTGTTTTAGGCTCATTAGATCTCGTCTATAAAGAATTGCTCAAAGGAAGGCAATGCAAAAATATTTGGTACTTGTCCATCTGTCTGTACCACCATCCTTTTTTTTTTTTTAAGTGCCTTGTCCAGTTCAGGATCTCAGGGGAGTCTCACCCGGGAAACAATGTGAGGGACACACACAGACAAACACACACACACTCACACCAGGGCCAATTTTCCCAGAAGCCAGTGAATGCAAGTGTCTCTTTGCATTGTGGGAGGAAACCAGAGCATCCGGAGGAAACCCACGCAAACAGGGGGGGGAGAACATGCAAACTCAACACAGATAGCGCCCCAAGAACTGACCCCAGGGCTCCAGCGCTGTAAGGCTGCAATGCTAACAACTGCACCAATGTGCTGCTCCCATTTGGTACTTGTTGCTTTGTAATCTCTGTTCCTCTTGACTTCTGGCCTCTGCTCAGGGACTTCCTCCCTGCTGTTAGTCAGGTGCTGTTGAGCAGTCCTCACAGGCTGAGGATCATGGGACGTGATGATCCGGTCTGAAATGGCAATAAAGGAAATGGTTTGTTTGGAAGCATAAAATGAGAGGCTCCAAACAAGGGGGCAGCTTCCACCGGCTGTACTGTAGAGGAATCTTTTCATCTTGAGGCATTATTGGCCATAATTTCAGTGAGGCAGCATGCAAGAAATGAATACTGTACCAAACGGTCTCCTGTGATCTAACTTTCTTTGCTGACCAGCCAAGTTAATCGTAGTGATTGCTTTCAGTAAACAACCTGAGCGCGTCAGTCTGATCAAGGCAACAGGAAAACAAACCCATTCCTGCCTGGGCCATCAACTATTTCTCTTTTTTTTCCCAAAGACTTAAAAACAATGTTGAATGTGCACATGTGAAAACCAGAGCCTGTAAATCCACTTCTGAGCATTGTTATCTTTCTTTCTGCAGTTTTGGGGAGCATTTAGCTTTCAGTCTGCTTTAATAGAGCCTACACACTGAAATGCTTATCTCTGATGTAGAAAGTTGGTCGTAAGAAGCCTGAACTCTTTGGCATTGCTCATTCGCTCTCTCTCCCCCCCAAAAAAAAACAATTTTGTTTTTTTTTTTGCTTTCATTTCTTAATTTACATGTAAGCTTCTTGGCATGCTTAGACTTGTAAAAATTGACCGTTAACATCTCCAGTAAGACCAGCTTCTGAAAAGGGTTTGCTGTAACTGAAATGAAGATCGGCTTATTTCAGCACTAATTCATACCCCACTTCTAGTATTCCAAGCTAAGGATAGTAGTTCTTTTTAACTAGAATGCTTTTTAAAAAGATGTTTCAGCATGAGCTCACATAAAGGGATATAGACATGGAAAAGGAAATGAGGGGGGAACAATGTCCATATTAAGCCTTTTCAAACTTAACTTTAATATGCAATTTATCATATAAGCCAGCACAGGAGGTTACTTACTCGTTTAATTTCTCTGTTGCAGTGTCAGCGTTCTGATTGGGGCTCCCAAAGCCAACACCAGCCAACCGAACATCACCGAGGGCGGGGCTGTTTACTACTGCCCGTGGAGCCTGAGCCAATCGGATTGTAGCAGCATTGGGTTTGACAATGAAGGTAAGTCACCTTGCTCCTGATTGCTCTAACTGCTACTCTGGGCCTGTTAAAAATTACGCTTATATAGCACTTTTCTGGAAACTTCACTCAAAGCGCTTTACAGGTAATGGGGACTCCCCTCCACCACCACCAATGTGCAGCCTCACCTGGATGATGTGACGGCAGCCATAGTGCGCCAGTACTCTCAGCACACACCAGCTATCAGTGGGGAGGAGAGCAGAGTGATGGAGCCAGTTCATAGATGGGGATTATTAGGAGGCCATGATCGGTATGGGAAATTTGGCCAGGACGCCGGGGTTACACACCCCTACTCTTTTCGAGAAACCCCCTGGGATTTTTAATGACCACAGACAGTCAGGAATTCAGTTTTACATCTCATCCGAAGGAAAACACCTGTTTACAGTATAGTGTCCCAGTCACTATACTGGGGCATTAGGACCCACATGGACTGGAGGGTGAGCGCCCCCTGCTGGCCCCTCTAACACCTCTTCCAGCAGCGACCTTCCAGGTACTGACCAGGCTCACACCTGCTGAGCTTCAGTGGGCTGCCAGTTGCAGAGTGATATGGCTGCTGGCTGTTAAGAGCTTCTCCAGTTGCAAAGTATTCTGGCAATGGGAGGCCATTCAACATGTCACGTTCTTCTGTTACATTTCCAGAACTCAATAAGCCCCTGCAAAGTAGTTGGATAAGCTGGGTAGAGTTCTAGTTATTGCTGCTCAATCTGTGTCAGTCAGGTTTTCCTTTTGCATTTTTGAGTTTTACATTATTTCTTGCTGAACATGTTTGTAAGCTTGCATCTTCTAGCAGTTGTTGAATAAGACAGGGCACTTGGCTCGCAGATTTTGAGTGCTAAACTAGGAAAGGCCTTCTTGTTTTCTGATCCCTTTTCAGCTCTTAATTACAGAATTGATCTACTCATGTGCTCAGCGGGACATTGTTAACCCAACTTGTGGAGCTGACGATTTTAAAATAGTTGTTTTAAACTATGTGAAATATATTAGGCCCAAGGTGAGGCTGAAGACAGGATTGTGTCCACTTTAGGGTTACAAGGGCGCTGCACAGTACAGTTCAGCATAGGTTTGCAATTAGTTTTATGAAAAAGACCAATTCTGGAGAACAAACAGGGACACGCAAAAGTGCATTTTTGTGAATTACTCTGCATCTTTACTGCATCAGCTTTTCTACCTTAGACCATCTCTCTCATTTACCATAAATGTGTCTAGGAGGGATCCTTGCATACACTTTAGAACTTCTATAAAGATCTCTGTACGTTTGACAACCGTTACCCCGAAAGAGCAAATTTAAAATGAACGCTTTCATACACCGATCAGATTCGACACCGGAAAGAGCTCGCCTCAAATAAATCTTAAGGAGCACCTTTTCTGCAAAAAAAAAAATACTTCAGAGAAACATCAGTCCCATTGCATAGCAACACCTTCCATTTCAGAATTTATGAGCTGCCAGCTCTTGTACCGATTATACTGATGAAGCATAAAAGCATATTTTAACTCCATGTGTCTGTCTGTGCAAATTTAGTCAGGATTACACGCTCATATGTTCCCAGCCCTGGGTTTCATCTGGTGTGAGAACCTGCAGCTGCTGCTGCCTGAAGTGGCTTCAGCTGTTATGTGTTACACATTTTATTTTAATTATTTTAGCCACAGTAGCTCAAGATGAGCAGCAGCCATTGACTTTCCCAGTTCAGAAGTACATCTGGCCTTCAGGACCCTGCTGTGACTTGTCTGCTGTACTCGAGCAGGATGTGGCTTGTGTGCCAGTTTGTGGCTCTGTCATTTAGCCCAGCGAGGTGTTGCTTCTCCCAAGGAAGCCAGCCTAAAGCCCAGCAGTCCGTACGGCTCCGTATGGGAAAAGACCTGTACAGGCTGTGCTGCAGGCCCCCCACTGCCTCCCTCCTGCTACCGCAACTTCCTGGAGAAACTTCTGCCTCTGGGGAAATGAGTGTGAAGTCGCCAGTGGCCTGGGCTGTGCTGGGGTGAGAGGAGGTGTCAGGCAGGCTGGGGGGCTGGATGCTGACAGTGGTGCTTTGTGAGCTCCAGAGCATGCAAGCTTGCGCTGGATTGCTCAGGAATGTCAGTGTGCAGGCCGGGAGAGCAGGGGGAGTCATGGCTATCCCCGGCTGTATACACTTGCCTGCGTGGTAATATGATGGAAAATATTCTGGTAATAAGCAGGAAGAGAAAGACAGCAGGTCAAAACCTGCAGTCTTGCGCCAGGAGAAGATGTGTTTTTTTTCTGTGTTTTGGTCAGATCTCTTGGGTGGGCTTGATTCGTTCTACGCTATCCTCAACAGTGGTTGGGATGCTAAACTGAAGAGGTCAGCCGGGGTCAGAGGGCCCTGTGGGACGCTGGCTGATAGGATGTGGGGGATGGTGGGCATGGGTCTTTCACCAACCGCACTTCTAACAGACTTGAGGCCACCAGTGAACTTCGGGGTTATCAGTTGAGAAATGTATGGTTAGCTGGTGGGTGCTGTGCCTCCTCACAACATGCAGGCTTGTTTTATCTTTACAAAGATACAGATATAGCTGCAGCATGAAACGGAAGACACAGCTCATTATTTCTCAAGACACGTACATTCTGGCTCATCCCATTGCAACTGGTGTTCGCGATCTGTTGCAATAAAATCTCGAGGGGCTCCGGGGTTTGGCTTCAAAGAGCATTAAAGTCATAACGGATTCGCCCTGTGATGTTCGGTTTATGGTCTTAGAAAGTCCAGGGTCCAGTTTTTAAAAGGTGCACGTGGAATTGGCGCACGTGTGTTCTATAGTGACGTTTCTAAGCATGCATGATAAACGTAACAAGCTATGCCTTCACGGCTAATGTGAAAATCATCTTTTGTTAAGGCCACGAGGTCGAAAGATGACCCGAAAGAAGTGAAGGACAGGCGCTTGCAGGTTTTGCCGCTTTGTTGCGAAGCAAAGGGGAAGCAGGGGCATGTCCTTTTGAACCCTCAACACAGAGGAGTTTTGAAAAGGCCAAGAAGAAGTTGCTTCTCTGCTGGACAGTGAAGAGAGCCAAACACCCACATGGTTTGAAACTTACTACATGCGTCCCATCCCAGCAGAGATCTGGAAAAGAAAAAGTTCCAATAGTTTAGGCGGGTAGCTGCGCCGCGTAGGCTGCAAAGGAACAAGTTCTAGGTTTATTCCATGCTGAAGAGAGAAAACGCCACAAACGCTTTACAGTGGTTTGCAAAAAAAAAAGTGGAGGCACATTCTTGCTTGGCAGCTACAACTGGGAAGAACAGGCGATCACACATGGAAGAAACATGTTTTCAGGTGTGTAGAGCAGAGAGACAGAGGATCTGAAAGAAAGGTGAGAATTGAAAAGGGGAAAGAGGACAGGCAGCCGGGAATGTATGAGTGACAGATGTCAGCCCACACGCGGATACAGATCCACACTCTAACCTCATGATCAGCTTTTAAACCAACGCGATTCTTTAATTTTTTTGGTTTTCCAACTTTGTCCTTATGGCCTGCAAGGTTTTGCACACCCCTGTCTTTCCAATCCCAGTTCCCGGCATGTGTGTGTGTTTGCAGCAGATGCTGAAAGAGGTGTTACTGTCCCCCAGACTCCCAGCTGTGCTTAAAGAAAAGGATTCGCTGATCAGTAACGCCTACGGCAGCCAGACAGCGGTTTCCTGGCCCGTTACGTTGATTGCAATGCAGTTTTTTTTTTCTTTTTGTGTTGGAAAATGGCCTTTTGTTTTTCCTCCCCGGCTCCAAAGGGAGGCTATCCAGCATGCCCCTGCGGAGCTTGGCTCCATCATGCTACTTTAATTAACTCCTTAATTAAGGCCGCTCGTCAAGGGCATCTTGCGGGATGAGATTCCCTGCTGCTCCCCTATCATCAGATTAAGCAGCAACAGATAATCCAAAGGCGACCAAAATAAAATGCCACTGGAAGAAAGGAGTTCCGCCTTTTTAAAACAAAACGCTGCCTTTCTGGCCTTTCCGATCCCGCCCCTTCTCACCCCAGGCCAGTCTCCCCAGGGCAGCCTTGTGATGAGTGCATTTAGCCATTTGTTACCCCCACCCCCGACCTAGACTAACAGACCTCTTTTCATGTAGTTCAAAGAACATTGTCTGCAGACACACTCCAGGCCTGCAGCACCAGGGAGGCAGGGTAGCAGTCGGCCACTGCCAGGCAAGAGTTTTCCTTATTCATTAAGGGTCTCTGAAAAGCAAGTGAGAGGGAGATGACGCAAGTAACATCCAGAGCAAAAACAAGGCCTTTATCTCCCACCTTGGCCCTTTGTTTAAGTAGGAGCAGAAGGACAATATTAGGCCGCCATTCGGCCCATCTTGTTCATTTGGTTGCTCCTTACAGGCCCAAGGATCTCGTCCTGTTTTGTAAGGGTCACAGGGAATCAGCATGAAGAAACATGCCTGGGCAGCTTGTTCCAGGCACCCACCACTCTTTGTGTACAGGGCACCAATGACCAGGGGGCCCAGGTGGTTGCCTGAAATTTCAGGGGTCAAAAGTCAAGACTCAAGCCAAAAACCACTCTGCTGGTGTGGCCAAGGTAATACGAACTTTGTCGGAGCTTTTCTGCAAACTGTAGAAGGCTCCAGACTCAGACGTGTTCTTGTCAGCCGAGAGTGACCTGAAGGCTTCTGTTGCTCAGGGTGTGGGTCCTTGCTCTAAACTGTAGTTCCCAGAACTGTCGTGCTTCATTCAGAGACACTTTCCGAAGTCTAACCAGCATGGCTCCGATTGAGCGCTTCTGAACAGCTCTGCGGATTGGCTTTGAGCAGCTCTCGCAGGAGCAATAAATTCAAGAGGTCTCTGGCAGGGATGATTGGGGCTTTGGTGCTGCGATATTATAGATCTTCTGTAATGTAATTAAAGGACTTAATTCCCCTCCTCTCTTAGCAGGCTGCTCGGAATCAAAGGGCTAGATGGATCGGGAGCGTGCTGTGTTAAAGTGATTGATAGGTGCTGCGCAGGAGCTGTGCCAGGTCTTCGTGTTTTTCTTGGACAGCGTTTTGTTTTAAAAAAAAAAATTGGGAACGCGATTCTCTTCCTTGGGAAAGAACGGACCAGGCTGCACTCGTTATTCCTGCATCAGGAAAGGCTGATGTAATAGTCTGTCTACTCCACTGACATTTCTTCATCGCTGAGAAGGCATTTGGTGTGACACTTTACACACCAAAGAAAACTCTTGTTTCTTGTGCTGTGGAATCGGTCTGTGATGATGGCGGCTTGCTCATCTGTCACCCCCTCCACTCCCAAGGTGCAGCTGGATGTCACACTATCCAGGTCCCTACAGGTCTATGTCACCCTGTAACGGGCTCAAAATGAACTTGGAATGTTACTTGGAATTATTCCCCTTCTGTGTTTTTGTTACACAAACCTGAAAGTGATACTTATCTCCTTATGTTAGGTTTTCTAGTGCTGGCATTTAATAAGCTTTTTTGTGTTTTCACTAAGGCAGGTGTAGTTACTGTGCTACACGTAAGGTCAGGATGTGACAGGAAGTTCTGTGGGGACATGTATAAGTGTTACACCACCTTTACTTTCCTTCACTGAAAGATTCTCCCGGCTTTTCTGTCACCTCTGTTTTGCTGCTCCTGGAGAAGTCCAGATCAAGCTTTGTACATCACGTAAAGCTTTTTTTTGTCAAAATTGGGTATGAGACATGAAAAGGAACAAAATGATCATTAACGGAAAATCATATTAGGCCAGAATAATAGGACGTTCAGCTGCCGAAGGACAGACTATGGAGCGAAAGCAAAGGAAAGGGAAACGCAACCTTGCCAGATTGAAATGTGCAGTCTTAAATATATTATTGTGCGATACAATGCAGAGCATGCTCAAATATCAGCCTTCGTTCTGCATGAGAGACCAGTAACAATAGCAGGGAGATGGGAGCAGAGCAGTAGGTGGGGTATACAGAATTGGTAAGAGAAAGGATTTTAACTCTTTCTTTGGTCTTTGGTGAGAGGGGGTGGAAGGTGCTCATTTCAATACAATAGGGCTTTGAAGTTTATTGATAAGGACAATTTGAAAGGTCAGTTCAGCCCCCTGTGCGACCTGCTGGGTTCCTATCTGGTTACCTGGAAACAGATGTGGGCTGGCTTCTCTGGGCCAGGTGGCGAAACAGGTTCAGGGTCAGGAAGGGTCACGTTCTGGTGCGTTTCCACTCTTCCAGGTGGGACTAGGAGCGGAGGGGCTAAACGGGCACCTTTGACGTTCAAACCCCGCCTTTCCGTCTTTCCGCAGGAGACCGCTACTACACCATTAACGACACCAGCGAGCGAGTGGAGTTCAAATCCCACCAGTGGTTTGGAGCGACAGTGCGTTCCCACGAGAACACCATCCTGGTAAAGTCACTGGATCACTGGACGTCACTCTGGGGTCGTGTGCTTGCTGGGAGAATATCGGAGTGGGGAGGAAGGGGCCAGGGGCCGGGTGCTGGAGGCTGGAGAACAGGGGTCTTGATGCAGGTGGACCTGAAGCATGTATTCCCAGCTTCAGTCCTTGTGGGGGGGGTAAATGAATCTGTGTGACCAGGCTTGAGACCCTCTCTTCGTGTTGCAGGCCTGCGCGCCGCGGTACTATTGGAGGACCACAAACGAAGAGGCGGGCTCAGACGCCACGGGCACCTGCTACCTGTCAGTCAACAACTTCACCAAGTTTGTGGAGTACGCCCCCTGTCGCTCGGGTAGGTACTACGCCTGGAGTGGGAATGTGGCCAGTCCATAGGATGTGTGGGGGAAAAAAATTACCACATGGCTGAAGCTTTTATCCCAGGAGTCCTACAGAGGGCTACAGCTATCGAAGTGTCCTCTTGCGCAAACAAGGAAAAGTTGCGTAAGACGTTGCGTAAGACGTTGCGTTTCTGAAAATTGCAGAATTGTGATAAACTATATGGCATTTTTTTAAAAATTTCCCATATTGTAAGATGTAAGGAAGAACTACAGTAAATGGAGTCTAAAATGCCATACCATGTGATACTGATGTGACATAGGAGAAAACAGTAGCTTCCACCAGAGCTAAAGAGCTGGGACTTGTAAGCGAACACATGCTGAAGAATAACATCTTTGTTCTTTCCCCGGTCAGAGAGGAACGGCCCTTCTGGACAAGGATACTGCCAGGGCGGGTTCAGTGCTGATTTTACCAAGGTATAGTAGATCAATAGGCAGGCGGGAGTCATCGATTGGGCCCCATCTTGTCACTGTGATTACTAGTAACTAGTGATGAAGGAGGATCTTCTGCTTGAAACCTGCATGGTTATACTGGCGCAGCACTAAAACATGAGTTATATTTAACCTCAGTAGGCTTAAAATATAATTAGTGTTCTTTAGTTTTTAAACATTGGACAGATTATTTTGGTGATTGTTCTTTGTCATGTTATAAAACTGCACTGGGTGCTCACTGTTTGGTTATTTGATTGGAATTAAAGTTGGCCAAGTGAGTTGATCAAGAATATGTTTACTCACAGGTTAATCTGGACTTTTAGCTATTGAAAATGTCAAGTAATTATGAACTGTGATTGAGTTGCTGAAGAATTTTGTGGGCGTATTTTTCGCTGACAGCATGGCTTTGCAGCTGTACCACTTAATGTATTTGCCCATACAATAGCGACTGGGACCTCACAGCTGGATCGCTGTCAGACTGCATCGTCTGACATATTGATGTGTCATCTGAACCAGTATAATGCAAATTAAAGGACTAAGCTGGCTGAAAGCAAAAGCCCAGAGAGTGTGTCTGTAAGTGACAGCTTGTTTGGATTCCTGTAGGTCTTTCTTCCAGGAGCTGTTGACACAGTCCTGGCACGGAGGCCAAGGCTGTGGTATACTAACGTCAGGTCTGTCTTGTGTTTCAGAATGGCAGAGTTGTTGTGGGGGGACCTGGCAGCTTCTTTTGGCAAGGTATGTGCATTCACAGTGGAAGACCAGCAGGGGGCGGAGTGGAGTGGGGAAGACTTGACTGAGTCTGCATTGCTCAGTCTAGGATGCTGCCCAGATGCTTTTGGCATTGGATACAGATACAGGAAAATCGGACATTAAGATTTTTTTAAAGTAAAAAACATCATTTTAAAATAGTTCAGGTGGGTAGCTGCGTCAGCGTGCGTAGTCTGCAAAGGAACAAGTAATAGGTTTATTCCCTACTGAAAAGAGAAGAGGTTAAGGTTATTAAATGAGAATGCATTGAGTGTAAGAACCAATTCCGTAAGATGCTCTAGAGTGTGGGCGGGTGATTTTAAAATGTTATTGTTCTTTAATGCCAGCAAGCAAGAGCCATTCATCAAACCCATATAGGCCCATACAGGAAGAGGGTCAGATGAAGTAATGGGACTCATTAGGGATGAGCTTCTGTCCCACTGCCATACGAACTTTGAACTCACCCCCTGCAGCTATGTAACCCCCCACGAGCATATCTCTTACAATTCTGATTGCCAAATGTAAGGTTAATGTTTACTTATACATGTGGTCATGTTTGCGCTTTGCTTGTCTTTTCATTTCAGTTTTGTTTTAATTGTATGCGTCGTATTCCTGCTCCATCCTTCCTTTATGATGGAAAAATCCATATTCTCTTGCTGTACGGAAAGCAAATGCTGTGAGGCAATAAAGATTTCTACGAACACTAGAGAGCAGTGGGGTACTCGAGTGACCAGAGTTAAGGGAAAGATGGACCATTTTAGGTTGAAGGTTAACAGTGTGTCCTCGGGGACACAGTCCAGAATATCTTTGTAAACTGTGACAATGTCTCCCCCACAAAGGTCAGCTGGTCTCTGCCACCAAGGAGAACATCGTGAAGGACTACTACACCGGCTACTTCAAGCTGTCCGTGAGGGGGCAGGTCCAGACAGCCCAGGCGCAGCCCTCCTATGACGACAGTTACCTTGGTAACACTCTCTGCGGCTCTGGTGGCAATTGCCCGCTCGTGCCCAGCTGACACCGCGGAGCTGCGTGAAATCACCGTTTAATAAGCAGGATAGCGTGTCGGAGCGACACTGCCCTAGGAGTACAGTACTTGTGGAAGGAAACCTTAATTTGACTGGTGTGAGATGTGCATGTGCTATATTAGAAACCATCTTTTCTCCCAGTCTCTGAACTGGAACACCTCCTCGCTGCTAGGCAGACACAGCCTCCCTCTATTTTTATTTTTTTTCTAGAGCCTTCTGTTTTAGAGCCACTCCAGAAAGACTAATACCGGTTTCGTGCAGCCGTACGGAGTCTCCACCCCCCGATCCTAATCGCCATCAGAGTTATTTTTCAAAGCACAATCAGCCCTCAGGTTTTCTGGAGTGCTGTAGTGGCTGTTCTTGTTCTATGCAATTCAAGGAGAAAAGCCCATCTCAGGAAGCAATTACCCTAAAGCAATTGTTTTTCTCTGTAAGGGACAGCAGGCATCTGTGGGTGGGGGCGGGGGTAAAGAGGTGGGGAATAGAGCAGTAATCGGTGTTGACGCTGGGCACCAGGTCTTTGTTTTAGCCCCCTGTGTAATTCGACGAGCTGGAGTAATGAGGTCTCTGCCACGTTGTGTGATGGGTGTTTCTTGTGTCCAGGTTACTCTCTGGCGGTGGGGGAGTTCAGCGGGGATCTGGATGAAGGTGAGCTGGATGGAAATTGTGCGACGGCTTTCTAATTTCAGCCGTTTTATTTCTAACATCTGCCTTTGCTACTTCAGAAAGCGCAGCAGAGGTGTGAGGTTCAGTGGAAGCCGAGATCTTTGGTTGATTGGTGCTTGCGAAAAAGCACACTTCCTCAAAATGATAAGCATCGTAGCTATATCTCCCCCCCTGTAGATGTGCCGTGCGTAGGTTTTAGGCAGCACAACTCTTCAGTAGTTCAAGTAGGGAGCTGCGTTAGCATGCATAGGCTGCAAAAGAACAAGTAAAGGTTTGTGCCATGCTGAAAAGAGAAGAGACAACGTTTCAGCTGTGGTGCCTTCTTTGGGTGTCGGAAGAAGGTGTCACAGGAGAAGCTCCACAGCCAAAACATTTTCTTTCCAACTCTTTAATTCCATCTGAGTCACAAGAAATGCTCATCTCGGCACATTGTTTATATCCATGTACTCAGGGCAAAAACAGCACGCTCTTTATGTTAAAAAAATCCATATTCAACCTTCCAAATGGGCTGAAATGAGGGAACGTCTGACTTTGCTTTCTTAGCCATCGCCATTTTATCGAAAATGTTTAACTTTACACTTAGGTGCGAAAAACATTATCGGAGGCACGGATGGTGAGATTTACTGTAAAAACATCAAGGCTAGCCCTGCTTAAAATAATGGAGCGCATAAACCAAGTGAATCATCTTTTTCTGCGCCAAAGAATTTTTGTTGGATAGCATGTTGTAGAGAATAACAGAACAGTCAAGCATAGTTTTCATTCTTTTTTATCTTGGTTTCTTCATGGCTTATTAGACCTCTGTTGCACATGTTGCTTTCATTGCATGTGCTGTTAAAACTCCCTCTGCGTGCCAATAATGGCATGCGTGCCGTCGGTTGCGATGAGGACCCGAACTGGATGGTCCTCAAAGCTGTAGCTCTTCGGTGATTACTGCTGATCACTGCCTTTCTTGTGCGCCTGGGTCCGCTGCCCCTTCCTTAAGGTTAATCCTACAGTCGGCTGGACGCTACCGAGCTCGTCTCTCGCCCTGGGGGTCCAGGCTGCAGTTACTCACCACTCAGTTTCTAGCTTCTGCTTTTGTTGGTTGCTCTAGGAGGCAGTCAGCAGCACAGCTTTACAAACGGTTCCCGATTGCTGGAATAAATGAAGCTGGCTCTGGCATGGCCCCAGCTCCAACAGTGTTTGTGTGTGTATTTCTGTTTCTAAGATGCTCTTTCTGCTGTTGTTTGTCTTGCAGATTTTGTGGCAGGGGTCCCGAAAGGAGCCTTGATCTACGGCTACGTAAGAGATAGACGCTGCTGTGCAATTATTGTCTCCCCATGTCTCATTTGCGGGGGGGTGGTTAGGGGGTCCGGTCACAACTTGTTGAATCTGACTTCAGGGTTATCCTCACGGGGCAATGATAAGGCTTCATGGGAATGGAGCAGCCGTATCACCCTGTAACTCACAACTGGTAACCCACTGAAGCTCAGCAGGTGTGAGCCTGGTCAGTACCTGGTTGGGTGACCTCCTGGGAAAAACTAAGGTTGCTGCTGGAAGAGGTGTTAGTGGGGCCAGCAGGGGGCACTCACCCTGCAGTCCATGTGGGTCCTTATGTCCCAGTATAGTGACGTCAGGTGCCGTCCTTCGGATGAGACGTAAAACAGGTCCTGACTCTCTGTGGTCATTAAAAATCCCAGGGCGTTTCTCGAAAAGATTAGGGGTGTAACCCCGGCGTCCTGGCCAAATTTCCCATTGGCCCATACCAATCATGGCCTCCTAATAATCCCCATCTATGAATTGGCTACATTTCTCTGCTCTCCTCCCCACTGATAGCTGATGTGTGGTGAGTGTTCTGGCGCACTATGGCTGCCGTTGCATCATCCAGGTGGATGCTGCACACTGGTGGTGGTGGAGGGGAGTCCCCATCACCTGTAAAGCGCTTTGAGTGAAGTGTCCAGAAAAGGGCTATATAAGTGTAATAATTATTATTAATTTTTATAATTATTATTATTATTATTGTTGTTTTGCAGGCCGAGGTGCCTGTTCATCCTACTTTCATTCTTTCTGTTCTGTTGCATTACAAGAAAGCTGTTTCCTCTTTTTATTTATAAGCTTTTCTTTGTCTTCTGCAAAGCCTTCCTACTGCTCTGTTCCCCCTTCCTCCTTGTTGTTAAGGTGTCCTCTTTCCCCCTGCAGGTCTCCATATTGAACGGGACAGACCTGAAATCCATGATGAACTTCACTGGCGAGCAGGTATCCGATTTCTCTTGCCTTAAGTACATTGCGGGGGAAAATGGGAAGAGCTTTTATGCTCATGCATCCCTGTGGCTCTGCGATTCTGTAGTCCCCTAGCCAGTGTAAGGAGAATATTTAAGGAAGGCAAGGAAACCCAATGAAAATGTGAGGAGAACATGCACACTCCATTGAGATTGGTGCTCCAAGCAGGAATCAAAGCTGAGTCTCTGGAGCTGTGAGGCAGTAAAACAAACCAACCACCATGGCACCCTGGAGTTAGGCTTTCCCAGGGGTAGCACATATTGCATTGTGTTCTGAATTCATCAAGCAAGCTGCAATGCCAGTTCTGTTTTTGAGATGCTTTAACACTAAAATAGCAAGCATACCGCCTTGCTAAAAATGACTGACATGCAGTACTGGGTGACCAATATGCACCTTTCTGATAGTAAAATAATGCCACATCTGTTATCGTAATATGTCCTGAAAGTGTGAATAGTGTGCATTCAAAAAGCCAAGACCTGTGAGCTGCACCTGCAGTCGTTTTTTCTTTTTTTTGGGATTAATAAATTCAGCTCTTGTTGTCATGTAGGAGATGGAACATGTGTGCTTTCACTGCACAGAATACTTCAGCTGAATAAATAAAATAAAATGCTCCATTTGCTTTTATTCTTTGATGCTTTTATAAGGACGTGGAAGAGTGAACTCAGAAATGGGATCTTTAAAGCTCAATATCTTGAGCAGCAAAGAGAAACTGCACTGAGGTTAATTTGTGAGGGACCAAATAAGGTCCAGTAACACAAGTAAGACATTGTAGTTTAGCTCCCTGCTGTGTGCTTGAAAACACTGTGGTCTATGTCTAGAGGTACTTCACCCATTATATTGCTTATGACATTAAAACTGAAACTTGCATTATTAGCAGAGTCAGCTTTGCATTAGGCACAGTTCACAGATTTTTCCGCTTAGGGTTGGGACTTAAGTGATCTCGCCGAAAAAACCCTTTTCCTCTGTATGCCAGCTGGCGGAGCTGTGAGAGATGTCAGTTTGCCTGCACAGACAAACTTGAAAACTTAATGCGGTGGAATTTCTGAAGTTTTTTCTGTAGCCATGAATGAAGTAGTACCTGCCTGTTTTATAAAATAAAACCATTCAGGTACATGAGGGTCACAGGTTACAGGCTTTTGCTCCTGAGCTGAGATCATCTTTTGCCTGCATGAGTAGACACTCCTGCTCTAATGTCTTCCAGATGGGCTCCTACTTTGGCTATGCAGTGGCCGCCACTGACATCAACAACGATGGGTGAGTGTGAAAGTGGAGAACCTGTCAGCTCCTGTCATTAGCAGAAATGGGCACAGCCTTGCAGTAAAAGGAGCGCCCAGCCGCTGTGCTGCTTCAGTCTGCACACCAGTGGCTCAGCCGACTGTAGGCTTAGACTGTTCAGACGGTAGTGTGTCTGCGCTTTACTGCAAATTCAGTCCCCTCTTGTGAGCAGTTGTGCTGGCTGGTAGGAAGCTTCTGCAGCTGAGGGTGCAAAAGGGAGCACTGTTTTGCTGTTAATCTCTAGCAAGGTTAGATGTTAAGCTTTAGCTGTAGCTATAAGAATCTGTCTACTTATCTTTATTCACTGATACCACTGTGTCCTCTGACAAGTACTATAGCATGCATACAGTGCTTAGCAAAGTGCTAATTTTCTTTTGTGCGAACAAGCTTATCTTAGAGTATGCCTACTGAAGACACAAACTGTTCAGTTTTAAGCAGCACCCACTAAGTATATGAATATTTAAGAAGTCTCACAAATCTGAGTTTTTTAACTAGTTCCTGGTGGTTTTGCATCAAGTCAGGTTTGCAGTCATGTCCTGTGTGTTGACCACTCTGCTCGGCTGTGTCTCCGTGTCCTGTGGTGTGTCCAGCATGGACGACCTGCTGGTGGGAGCTCCTATGTTTATGGTACGGGGGTCAGACGGACGGCTGGAGGAAGTGGGGCGCGTCTACGTCTACCTGCAGACAGGACCCCTGGACTTCGGCCCCAACCCCCAGCTGCTGACGGGGACCCAGGCGTTCAGCCGGTTTGGAAGCTCCATCGCGCCCCTGGGGGACCTCAACCAGGATGGGTTTAATGGTGAGGAAGGGTGATCCTTTTCTGTGTGTTTCAACAAGGCAGCAGGCCATACAACCTGCTGGCCCATCCAGCCCACTCGCTAGTGCGTAGCTAATTGATCTGAGCTCTCATTCAACTTATACCAATAACATGGCTGGGCAGCTTGTTCCATACTCCCACCGCCTTTGGCGTAAAGAAGCTTGGATCATACCAGAGAGGTGGTTCGTAAGCTGGTTTTATTTGCAGCAGTTGAAGATCTGGTCTCTCTTCGCTCATTGTCTAATAAAGCTGCACACTTGTTTTTATTAAGGGTGGAAACGCGGTGAAATTGACTCGTTTCCCATTTTGCAGACGCCTTTTGTGAAGCCGCAGAAGAAAACCCCGCCCCTGCGTTGATCTATCTATAAATTATCGTAGCTCTTCTAAGTTTATTGAAGTTATTCCTCTAAGCAAGTGGCAGATGGTTTCTAGAGAGATTGCTCAATTGGGTGCTAGTGCTACCTTCTGCTCTGCTGCTGCTGCAGGTGAAGGTGCCCCTTTGGACTATTTTGGTTTCTTAGTGGATTTCCCTGTGCACCTGGACTGTTCCTGTGCTGTTTGGCTTTGTGTAAGTCTGCTGTTCCTCCTTCCCAGATGTCGCAATCGGCTGTCCTTTCGGAGGGGAAGACCAGCGGGGACTGGTCCTCATCTACAACGGACAGGCCGGTGGCCTCAGGGACACTCCTTCTCAGGTCCTGGTAGGCCAGTGGGCTTCCAGCAGTCTGCCGGCCAGCTTTGGATACGCCCTCCGTGGGAACAAAGACCTGGACAAGAACGGCTATCCAGGTACACAGGGGTGACCACAGAGCAGCACCCTTCGAAAAGCCTGCAATGCCACACCGTGCTGTTATCATGGTACAGTGCAGAGTCCCGCTAGTTTTCTTTCCAGCCCACCTTGATGACCTAATTCAAGCCTTAATTGAACTGGCAAATTGTTTAATTGCAACATTTGCAAGTTTTTTTGTGCACCAGCATTTGAGCTTTTTTCCCACTTTTTGTCAAGAGATAAAAGGCATCGTGATGAAGAGCTGAAATCCATCCATTTTCTAATTTGTCCATCAAGGAGATGGTTGTGGGGGAGCCGGAGGCTATCCTGGCAAGCAAATATGTGTTTTTGACTGTGGGAGGAAACTGGAGCACCTGGGTAAAACCCACATGCACACGGGGAGAACATACAGACTCCCCACAGAGATCACCCCAGTTCTGGAACTGAACCCAGGGCCCCAGCGCTGCATGTCTGCAATGCAAACCAGTGCACCACTGTGGCACCATCAATTAAAGCAATTCAATTCAATTAATGTACAGTACTTAAGTCAATAAAGAGTCAGATTTTGGAACAGAGCTGGGCTGGACCCAAACCCAGCAGGTTTGTGGGTTGGGAACCCCTCATCTCAATAAGAAAAGTGACTTAACAGTCACTGAAAAATGTGTCACTTTGAGACCTGACCTAAGTGCGAGTTTTACATGGTAAAGAAAGCAAAGACTTGAGCCAGTAAAGTCTCTTGACTGCCATGCTGATTTGTTTTAGGTGAGTGGCAGCTTTATAACCCAGCGCCACTGGCTATGGTTATTTGATGAAGATTGTTCACATCAGCTCATTAATCACCCCCCTGTTTAATCAAAAAGGGCTGAACTCTCTCCTCCTGCACTATGTCAAACTGTCAGTTTCCCTCTGTGTTTTCCCAGATCTCATTGTCGGAGCATTTGGAATGGACAAAGCAGTGCTGTACAGGTAACGGAATTGCAAATTGACATAGATTTCTGATACCACACACATCTGCGTACATGGACACCATTCAGCTGTGAGATGACAAGAAGCTTTTAACCCAAAGATAACATTACTCACCTCATTACTTCCTCTGTACCCCCTCCCCAGTCTGAGAGAGTGAATTTATTGGCACAGCTAAACGTTCACCTGTTTTCCTGCTCGGCAGGGCTCGTCCGATCGTCAATGCCAGTGCTTCCCTGACCATCTCTCCCACTATGATCAACCCAGAGGAGAAGTCCTGCGTGGTCAACAAAGATGGAACATCCACTCATGTCTCTTGGTACGTGCCAGATAGTTTTGCCCCCCCTCTCCCTGAGCAGAACCTGGTACGTGCCAGCTAGTTATACCCCTCCTCTTTCTGAGCAGAACCAGTACTGGCAAAGCTAGCACAGTGATATCATAATCCCATTTGTCAGCATATGAAATTTATTCTGCTTTTGGACTATAGAACGGGAGGGGTACCAAGATTATTAGTAACTATTAATTGTGTTCAAAGTGCATTTTCTTTTCTTTTTTTTAATGAAAGCAGATGTGTTCCAGTTGTAGTTCCACATGTGATCCCCGATCAAATATGTTGCATCTTACACTTGGCGCGATTATGTTCTGACGGGCATTAGAAAAGGCAATGTTCTGTGAAAGAACAGTTAACCATGATAAGATATCAGATATAAAACTTAGATGTGCCAGCAGCAGTGTGATGCGGTGGTTGTATTTAGATTTGCCAGTTATTTTTTCATCTTTATTCCTGATTGGGGAATCGGCAATATGCAATCAGCTCATACAGTTAACATCATGTTTAGAAAAGATTCAATATCATTTTGGGATTTCCATGCAGAGTAAGTGGACATACCACAAAACACTAGTTCTTATCAAGTGGATTGAAATTAGTGTTGTTGAATAATAGATACAGACCTCTATAAAGCAGAAATACAGTACAAACGCAAGTTTCTTAGGTGTCACAGTGTAAATCTGCAGAAGCTGTAACTATGTAAATAACAGTAAGATTTTGTAAGCTGCTCATATCTCAGAAGGGTTGTGCTGGTGTGGATTGCGTTATCACTTGCAAATGCGGGCTTAATTAAAAACATGTTTTATGTGCGAAGGCTTGTTTTTAGGGAAGAGACCTGGATAATTTCCTCGCAATGAGTCGCGATTTTAGATTTTTTTTTGTTTCTTGTGAATCGGTCTTCTGAAACCTCACTCTGATTTCTCTGGTAAAACATCCTGGAATGATCCTGGGGGGAAAAAAACCCCCCCTCCCAAAACGGGGTGGTTGGGCGCCGGCCCCCCCCAAAAAAAAAAAGATTCTCTTTTCCTCATGTGAATCAGTTTTGTTGGGTAGAGAAATCTGTTTTGAAACAAACACCAGCTGGTGATAGTTGCAGAGCAACGCCAGTGTAGAATTCCTTGGGTGTGACTTGCTGTTGTGACCGAGCCAACAAGCTGCCGCCTTGATCTAATTTTTATTGAGCTTGTGTGAGGAATCGCCCAGGTTAGGAACTTGCTTGGCGATGGGTTCATATCCGACTAGAGATGGGGTGTCCAGGACTTGCTGTGTCACCCCCACTTTCGTTCCCTGCAATACATTTGTGCATTGAAACATTGCTGTGTACTGCCTTGACTGGGCAAAGCAGTTGCCTGGTGACAGAAGGGGGTGGGAACGAGGGGGGCGCAGGGAGTTGTGGCTGTTGCAATGAATGAGATATTGTTTGGCCATGAACCACAGCTGGGAAACATCAGGCCACCCCCCCCCCCCCCACACCATCAGTGAAGCGTGGGATTGTGGTATAAGAGGATAGGGGGGCTGGGGCCGAGCACTGTGGTATGGGTGATGTCACAGGGTACAGAATAATACAGACTGTCTGCATGTTGAAATTCGAAGCATTTCTCTCCCTCTCGAGCTGGAGAACTCTTTCCTCCCCTTGTTCAATTAATCTGTCATCAGAACTGTGATATACAGAAGTGAACTCCACACTGAAATCAAAGAAAGCTACATTTTAGTAGCTACAGTTTTAGTCCAAGTTAGTACAGACATAACAATATTGATATTAAAACTTTTTTTTAACTGGCTAAACATAAATAACATCCATGTGCCTTCATTACTGACGTTTGTTCTTAAACGTTTCATATGTTCATATTGTATGCCCCACAGTTACACCCACACCCCAATCCATGCAGCAGCTGTGAACAATAGTTCCCCTTTGTAAACTCAACTCTTAAATGGTTCTGTGGGCTCATGAGTGGCTCACCCAGTAAAGCCATTTTCTCAGAGCACAGGTTGTGCTCTCTGGTCCATATGTCACCATCATGTGACTAATTGACTACATCTGGCTCTTTAAGTGGCAGCGTGTATTTGAAGCAGCACTGGTGAGGTAGTGTTAGAATTAATCAGACAGGGCTTCTGTGTCTGGGGGTTTTAGTGATGTCAGCATGAGATGCGCTGCTCCTCCAATTGGCACCGACTCTCCTGTCAGGCGCTGTGGAGCTGCACAGTGCATCACATGGCGATTGTCTCAGTTGGCTAGCGTGTTTCAGGTGCATGTCCGCACGCCTCATTCTTTCACTGGGCAGGTACACGGGTCGCACTCGGAGGGCTGAGGCTTAGAGCACAGTCTGGGTATGTAGAGAACCAAGACAGCTCTCCCACCTCCTCCACCTTCCCCCAGCTGGGAGTGAAATGTGTGTGTTTGTTACAAAACTCATCTCATCTCTTTCAGCGTCAACCTCAGTTTCTGCCTGTCTGCCAACGGGAAGCATTTGCCTGATGAAATAGGTAAGAAGGCTCTCAAGTTGCTGCTTCTTTCTCAGTAAAGACATTAAAGCCTGTAGGTCATTGGTAAATGAACTCTTTGTCTCAAAACCCCAGGATACAATAATTTGCCAGATAAGTTCAGTTATACAGGGTCCATGTGACATGAAACGAAAAACAGAAGCCATATGGCTCTTCAGAGCCAGGAGGGCATATCTGTATCTGAGTTAAGCAGTGGCCCATTGAATCCTCCTTGGTTCTGCAGTGAACCGGCTCACTCTGCCAAAGAACATTATCTCCTTCTGAATCCAGCTGATCATACATCCTTGCACAAGGCTTTGAGAAGTTTCAACAAAGCTTAGATCACCACTGCAGTGCACTGAGTTCTTGAATAGTTCCAATATATACTGTTTAAGAAATTATAATGGAGATGAGTGAGATCAGCTCCCTTTGGTTAGCACCTTATTAACCTCTGGTGTGTGTTGGACATCCCAGGCTCTGGACTAGCCCATGGGTTTACTGAAGGCCTGTGCTTGAGTTCATTTAGATCAGGAATCTTCAAAGCCCATAATCCCAGGATGAACACAGTATTGCTTGTTCAATGAAGGTTGACTTAGACAAGTTTATTAAATGTCCATTTAATGCAATGTAGAAAACATGCTGGACTCTAGAGGAGGTTAGAAACACCCAATTGAAGTACCTCAGGGAACAGTTCGGGAGGTGAACCTGGGAGTGCTACAGAAGTGCTGACATGGCCGCAGCCCCTTGGCCTCCGTTGCTGATGGGATCGCTCTCCTTGCAGAGTTCCTGGCAGAGGTGCAGCTGGACCGGATGAAGCAGAAGGGGGCGGTGAAGCGGGCTCTGTTCATGAGCACCCAGCAGCCCGTCATGCAGGAGACCGTGCGCGTGCGGAACGGCGCCCGCAGCTGCAGAGACGTCAAGATCTACTTACGGGTGAGTCGGCCTGCCCACCTGAGGTCCGAACCCACGGCGCCCCCCGTCAGGAGCCCGGAGCCCGGCCGCTCTGCCACGCCCACGCCAGCTTCTCTGGGGAAAGAGCCCGGGTGTGATCCCTCCCCGTCCTGTGTGTCTGCTCCGCAGGAGGAACACGAGTTCCGGGACAAGCTGTCTGCCATCCACGTGGCCCTCAACTTCAGCCTGGACCCCCGCGCGGCTGCCGACCGGCACGGCCTGAGGCCCATCCTCAACTACCAGACCACGGAGCTCATTGAGCAGAAGGTAATCCAGGACGTGGTTCCGGCTGCTTGTTTGCCTGTGTCCCATGTGGGCGTATCCCGGGAGGGCCAAGGGCGAGACTCGTGGGATCAGTCTGCGGAGTTGGGCTTTTGGCTTTTCCTCATAAAACGGGTGGAGTTGTGGATCAGCGCAAGAGCTGCATAGTCCTTCGGGTGGCTTCATGGGTGAAGAAGCTGTGTCTTGGTTTTTATATCTTGAGACAGGAATGATCATGCATACTTCTCTGGAACGTAGAGCTGTGTTTTGTTGCTAATAATTGTCTTTTGAATTGCAACCTGTTGGCAAAATTATTACCACCCGTCATATGAAATGGCATTGTTCATCAATGCATGTAGCGAAATATGGCTTTTTTTTTTTACTTGTCATCTTTTAAAGAAGCTACCTTGTGTGCAGTGAGAAAAACCCCAGTTAGATTAACAGTTCAATAACGTCTGCAGAGCTGCTGGGTCTGGGTTTTAATTTTGGAACAGCGGAAAGGTTACAAAGCAGAAGAGGCTGTTTTTGCCCATTATGCATTCGGTTCTGGATCAATTTAGAAACTAATTGATCCAAGGATCTCATCCAGCTGTGTGTTGAAAGAAGCCAAGGTATCCCCAGGAACATTTTTTCTCCTGTGTTTTTGGGAGAAAGACTTCACTCCCTTCCCTGGCTCTTCCTGCTCCGCTGGCTGGTAGTGCATGCTGGGACTGGAATCTGGGGGAGCCTCACAGGCCCACAGAAAGACCGGGCTGGGAGAGAGAGACCTGCGTGGCAGCGACCCAGTCGCTCGTGATGCAGGACATCCGCGTCGGGGCGCCTGTGCAGTGGCGTCTCGCGCGCCGCGCGCGGCCTGTGCGTTCTCTCGCGGCGTAATTCGCACCAGATGCGTGGTGACAGCTTAACATAACAATGGCGATAACAGGCGCTCAGACCGTGTTGGCAGAAACTCCTGGAATAAAACTCTCTCCGCGGATCAGCCAGCTTGTTTTTTTTTCCTCATGTGGGGAATTCTCAGCTTCGCAAAACAGCTTGTTGTTCTTGTCGGAGAAGGAGGAATTCCTAGCGGCCAGAAGCCCTTGGAAGCCACCTGCAGTTAAGGGAGAGTTCCAGATGGGGGGAAGGAGCCAGTCGGTCGTGTGAGCACTGCGACATCCTGCTCCCACAGTAGAGCTGAGGGGTTGAGCGCAGGTGTGTCTTCAGAGGGTACGGAGGGCACATTCTTGGAGTCGCTGGCAAGAGCAGTGCAGTTGAAGGACCGGCCCCTGAACACCCCCCACCTTATGCGTAGTGCAGATTTCTGAGAGTTTACGAGCAATTGATGCAGTGTAATTTACAACGGCAGTCCTTGCTGTACAAAAGAAGCCTTCTTAGGTCCTGCCTGTGTTTTCCATGACTGGCCACAAGCAGGTGATCTCCCCAGCCCACTTTACAGTACTAAGAAAAATTCCTCCTGCCCACCTCAGCTGACTATAAACCACCCCCCTTAGTGAAAGCAGAATAATTCTACTGCTGTCCATTTCAACCTCCTAGTCAGTGTTACACAGCTTGTAGATGGAGAGGACCAGAGGAGACTCGGAGCAGAAAATGCATTCGATAGCCAAGCCTGCGTCATAGTGTGTTAGGAGACACCGCAGACAGACCTGCTGGGACTTGTTCAGCTGGTGAATAACACCAGCGAGTGGGTAAGATCGTTG